TTTCTTTCTATCTCTGGGGTCGGGAAAGTCAAGGAAAGCTGGGTTAAGCTACGGTGACTCACAAGAACATAAGAACATAAGAGACGCCAATGTTGGATCAGGCCAAAGGCCCGTCCAGTCCAACACTCTGTGTCACACAGGGGCCAGAAATACCAGGTCATAGAATCAAGGAAGCTAGTTTCTGATACTCTTAACTATTTGAAATTTGATCGTGACTTCTGACTGCTGCAAACTATAAACATTAAAGTATTAAGGGGAAATGTTTTTTTAAAAAAGAGTTGTTCTGAACAGAAAATTAGTCTACCATTTATATTTTGATTACTGAGTGAGTGCAACAGAAATTTGGTTTTGGCATATTCGGCCCTTTTAATATGAAAGGTAGTCAACCTCTGAATCCAAGTGTCAGGAGTCAACTTCAGGAGAAGGCCTTGGCCTTTGGGCCCTGTTGTTGGCCCTCCAGAGGAACTGGTTGGCCACTAGGTGAGGCGGGATGCTGGACTAGATGGACCTTCACTGGTCTGATCCAGCAGGGCTCTTCCAATGTTCTTGTGAAGGCCTCGGCCTCTATGCCCTGTTGATGGCCCTCCAGAGGAACTGGTTGGCCACTGGGTGAGGCGGGATGCTGGACTAGATGGACCTTCACTGGTCTGATCCAGCAGGGCTCTTCCAATGTTCTTGTGAAGGCCTCGACCTCTCTGCCCTGTTGCTGGCCCTCCAGAGGAACTGGTTGGCCACTGTGTGAGACAGGACACTGGACTGGATGGACCACTGGTCTGATCCACCGAAGCTCCTCTGATGCTCTCATCAGGGGAAGGCCTTGGCCTCAGTGTTCTGTTGCTGGCCCTCCAGAGGAACTGGCTGGCCCCTGTGTGAGACAGGATGCTAGACTAGATGGACCCTCACTGGTCTGATCCAGCAGGGCTCTTCCTATGTTCTTATGGTTGAAGGAATGATCAGATTAAGGGAAGAGTAGTCTTAACAGAAGCTCCCCACCGTGGCTAGTAGGTACCTTTTTGGGCTCAATCCAGCCTTGATCATGCTGCCAGCACAGAAGCTGTTCGTTCGGAGCAGCTGAGGAAGGGGAAGTGGCTCAGTGGCTGAGCCTCTGCTTGGCATGCAGATCTCCAGTCCGGTCCCCGGCATCTCCAGTTAAAAGGGCCAAGCAGCAGGTGATATGAAAGACCGCGGCCTGAGACGCTGGAGAGCCGCTGCCAGTCTGAGTAGACAATACTGATCTTGATGGACCCAGGGTCTGATTCAGTAGAAGGCAGCTTCAAACGTCACCTAGCAGGCGCCTGCCTCCCCTTAGACTCCTCTCCTTCCTTTCCCCTACCTTTCAGCCTCCGGGGGATGCTTCCTCTTTTTGCTCCTCTCCTCTTTTCTGTCTGGGGCGGCCCCGCTCTCCGGGTCGTGTTGGGCCCCGTTCCTCTGGTCCGCCTCTTTCTCTTTGTGGGCCTTGCTGAGGCGACCTGCAGCGGGAGAAGCCGAAAACCCGAGATGGAATCACAAAGTCCCCCCGGCGGCCGGGAAGTTGGGAAGAGACGGCAACGGGGAAAGAGGGAGTCAGGACTCACTGAGGTCTCTGGCGAACTTATCGTATTCCTTCTGGGTCACCGGGCAGACTCCGTGCTGGCTCACGGTCACGATCTTGCCCCCGATGGCCAGTTTCACCATGAGGCGAGCGTTGTCGGCATCCGTGCCTTCGATCTGGGAACGAGAGGGGATGGTTTCAGGAGGGGGTGTGAAAAGTCACAGGGTGGGACCCAATGCGCCCTCTAAGCTGTGGAGTCTGGTGAGCAAATATTCTACTTTGTGAGCGACTGGCATTAAAGTGGTGAGCGAGCAATTTGGCTACTGCATAAATCAGTTTGCTCTGGAGCCATCCCTCCCTGAGCTAAGACAAAAATGTGTGAGCCGGAGGCTAAAAAACGGTGAGCTAGCTCACACTAGCTCGGCTTAGAGGGAACCCTGGTGGGACCCCATAGCCCTCCCCGCTCCATGGGCAAGAGCAGCCTTAATACAATACACGAGATAACATCAAAAACATCAAACCAAAATTAAGATCGCCATTTGGGACGGCCTGTAGCGGCCTCCTGAACAGCAAAAGCCGGTGTGTGTGTGTGTGTGTGTGTGTGTGTCAGGCGCATGTCCCGTAAGAGGTTGTTCCCAGGGCTCTTATTGTAGCAGGAGCTCCTTTGCATATTAGGCGACACACCCCTAATGTAGTCAGTCCTGCAAGGGCTTACAGTAGCCCCTGTAAGAAGAGCTCTGTAAGCTCTTGGAGGATTGGCTACATTAGGGGGTGTGTCGCCTAATATGCAAAGGAGCTTGTTCCATAATCACGGGGCTGCCACTGAAAAGACCTCATGAGAGCTGTTCCTAGGTAATGAACGACTTTATTGCCTCTCCTGGCTTCCCTGGCGTGTTATCAGGTTTTGCTCCTGCACAGAAACAGAACCTGGACTAGGAAGAGCACCAGGTACGAAGCAGCACAGAGGAACCAGCACTAGGTATGAAGCAACATAGTCCCGCTGTACACTGCACTGGTCAAACTGCACTGGGAGAACTTGTGTGCAATTCTGGAGGCCTCACTTCAAAGAGAAGAAGAAGAAGAAGAGATTGGATTTATACCCCGCCCTTCACTACCCAAGGGTGTCTCAGAGCGGCTTACAAACTCCTTTCCCTTCCCCCTCCCCACAACAGACACCCGGTGAGGTAGGTGGGGCTGAGAGAGCTCTTGACAGAAACTGTTCTTTTTTCAAGGACAGCTCTTATCAGCCAGGTGCAAGTGGAGGAGTGGGGAATCAAACCCCATTCTCCCAGATTAGAGTCCGCGCACTTAACCACTACACCAAACTGGCACTCAGAGGATGTGGACAGAATGGAGTGGCGGGTGCAGAGGAGAGCAACGAGGATGATCGGGGGCCTGGAGACCAAGGCCTGTGAGGAAAGGCTGAGGAACTTGAGGGTGTTCAGTCTGGAGAAGAGTTAAGGGTTGAGGGGGACGACAGGATGGCTCTCTTGACATATCTGAAGGGCTGTCAAAGGAGGGCAGGGAGCTATTCCTCCTGGCAGCAGAGGAGAGGACTTGCAATCATGAGTTTAAACTATGGGCAGGAAGGTACCAGCTGGATATTAGGGAAAACTTTTTAACAGCCAGAGTTGTGCAACGGTGAAATCAGCTGCCTGGGGAGGTGGTGAGCTCCCCCTCCCTGGCAGTCTTCAAGCAGCGTCTGGACAAACTCTTGTCAGGGATGCTCTAGGCTGATCCCGCATTGAGCAGGGGGGGTTGGACTAGACGGCCTGTGTGGCCCCTTCCCACTCTGGGATTCTGTGATTCTATTCTATGAAAATCTCTACAAGATAAAAGCTTTGAAAAATGATCTTCTAGAGCAGATCCCTTCCTGGGTCTTCTGAAGGAAACGTAAGCTGCTCTTCGGCAGCCGGTGGGGCTGCTTGTGGGAGGCCCCTGCTCTGAGACAACGGCTCACCTTTCCATAGAGCTCCTTGTGGGGCCCGGCCTCTATGAAGACGGCGCCTCCCGCCACCAATCCCAACGGCTCCTCTTTGCTCTTGGACTGCTCCTCGCCCGGCTTCGGGGGGCGCTGGGGGCGGGAAGGCTGCAGATCCTGGGCTGCTGAGCGGTCCGCCCCGAGGCCCAGGCCCTTGGGCCGAAGACGGTTCTCCGGTGGCTTCACATCCCTGGTGCGGTGGAAGAGAAGTGTGGTGAGACGAGCAGGAGATGGGACCAAGGAACAGCCCTCGGCTCCCCGGTACTCTCCAGATTCAGGAAGCATAAACCCCGGCATTCATAAGAACGTAAGAGAAGCCATGTTGGATCAGGCCAATGGCCCATCCAGTCCAACACTCTGTATCGCACAGTGGCCAAAACCAAAGGGCCATCAGGGGG